CCCCACATAGTATAACTAGAGCAGAGCATCCGCCATTTTATTCAGTCTTTGCGACTGCCCTTCGCTGTGCCTTGTGCCAGTTCGTCTCTCGCTTAGATTCTTGCCTTGTGCTCGTTACGGTTCTTATACCTTGTTATACTTACCTTGTTATACTCCCAGTTTTTTTCTCTTACCCATGTTGTAGTTTCTTCTTCTCTTTCTTCTAAAAAAACCAAAAATATTATTCTTTACCCTCTGCACTATCATCTCCTTTCTTCCTTTTCATGATGGCGCAGCGGGCGGCATTTCGCAAATGTAGCGAGTGTGGCTCCAAAATGTCTCCCGTCGACCCGCACGACCTATGCCTCCTCTGCCTTGGCAAGGGGCATAGGACCGACAAGTGCGGGCATTGCTTGGCCTTTACCAAACAGGTCAAGAAGAATAGGGGGAATCATCTCCACAAGTTACTTTGGGACCAGGCCTTGCTACAATCAGACCAATTGGTCTCAAGGCCTACCTCTTCTTTGACTGTGCCTTCTCAGCGCTCCGCCTCTGCCTTGGCCGTGCCATCCAAGCGCCCTGCTTCAACATCAGCCGCACCTCCACAGCGTCCTTTGGACGAAGGCGCTGCCTCAATGGAAGCGCAACAGCTACCTTCTCCCCCGACTAAGCAAAAGGAGAAGCGTAAGCTTTCAGAATCTGATAAATCCTCTGGGCACAAAAAAACGAGGAAAGATAAAATGGCCAAGGCGGTCCATAAGGGCAAAAAGCTCGATCGCCCAAACATCGGGGTTCGGGTTCGTCCGGGTTCTCGGTACCAACTGCCGCCACGGTACCAACTCCCTCGGGACCAGCCCTGCAATCAGCAATGCAGGTGACTCCGCCAGGATCCCCCAGGCAAATTGTCCGGCCTGAGAGCGCGTCTTCTCCACAGCCGGAGCCGCCGCTTAGGGAATCGATCTCAGATGGAGAGATCAGAGACTCCCCACCGAGGGAACGCTCTCCAACCCCAATGCCTACCACTGGGCCACCTGCGGAACCTGTATCGCCACCTGGGTGCAGAAGCCGTTCAGCTGACCGCCAATTGGATGAGTGGCCTATGCCTGGTTATGGTGGCTTCCCTGGCTGGAGTAGATACCAACCCTACGCTTATTATCCATGGGACCATCACTCAGCATCGATCTCGAGGGAGATGCTGCCCACTTCTGGGCATGCAGAGAGGAGACCTCCACCATCCCCGGAGACCTCCTCTTCCAGCAAACAATACCACTACCACCAGGACTCGCAAAGCAAGTTTATTCGGATTCCACCTTCGATCCTTCATACCTTGACATGGTGGACTACTGCAGACAATTTATCTATCGGTGTTCCGTTCCGACGCCTCAACCGACACTGACATTGTACACTGATGCGTCCTCATCGGATGGGGTGCAGCATGTGCAGGACTTCGGGTCCAAGGGACTTGGAACCGACAAGAAACGAGGAAGCACATCATCTTCCTCGAGCTTCTGGCAATTTTCAACGCTCTCAAATCCTTCAAGACCGTCCTACACCGCCAAGTTGTCCAGATTGCATCCAATAACATCGCTGCTGTCTTTTACAGCAACAAGCAGGGCGGGACAAAGTCACCCATCTTGGCTTGATTGTCGATGCAAATTTGGGATTGGTGTATCCCAAGGGACATAATGCTACTGGCAGTCCACCTTGCAGGGACCGACAACGTGGAAGCAGATGCACTGAGCAGACAGATGTCAACGACTCAAGAGTGGGAGTTGGATCGGCTGATTTGCGACGAACTGTTCCGTCTGTGGGGATACCCAGACATAGACTTGTTCGCTACCCGAGAGAACAGGGTATACGAACTGTTTTGTTCCAGGGCGGGTATCGGACAGGACTCGAGGGGAGATGCCCTCATGATCACTTGGAACAATTTGACTTTTTACGCGTCTCCCCCGATCCCCCTTTTGATGAGGGTTGTATCGAAGATTGTTCAAGACAATGCTACGGGAATATTAATAACCCCGTGGCGGCCAAGACAACCTTGGTTCACCGCTCTCATCATCTGGTCCAAAGGTGTATTTCGTCGGCTTCCAGCGATTCCTCACTTGTTAACACAGCACAACGGAGCGATCCGACACCCGGACCTGGCTTCTCTGAAGTTGACAGCATGGAACATCCACTGGACTTAGCTGCTCCATCGATCCCGATGGCATCTGGACAAACAGAATACTCAGTTCAACAGACTATGCGACCAAATCTCCCTTCGGGACCGTCAGGAACTGCTTTGGGACCGACAGTCTTACATCCTGATATCCAAGCGATTCTCGAATCTGCACTAAGACCGTCTACGTGTCGATCTTACACGGCGAAATGGAGAAGATTCTCATCCCTTGCCAACTGCCATTCTTTTTCTCTGGGATCGGCCTCTATTGAGAACGTTTTACAATTTCTATTTGAATTACACCGTTCGGGACTTAAACCGTCATCTATAAAAGTTTACACCGCTGACATTTCACATTACCGTGGCAACATACAGGGCTCATCGGTTTTTTTCTCAACCTCTGATTCGCCGTTTTCTAAAAGGACTACAGAACCTTCACCTGTCAGTCCGTCCTGTTCTGCCAACTTGGAGTCTTTCTGTTGTACTCCAAGCGCTTACAAAGCCCCCATTTGAACCTTTGGCGACTGTGGATCTATGCTTAGTGTAGTGGAAGACTGCTTCTCTTGTTGCGGTCACTTCAGCCAGAAGGGCTAGTGAGCTTTGTGCTCTTCGCATAGATCCACCGTTTTTGAATTTTCGTAAGGAAAAGGTTGTCCTTCGGATGGATTCAACGTTTCTTCCTAAAGTGGCTACATCATTTCATTTGAATCAGGACATTGTCTTGCCCGTGTTCTTTCCATCCCCATCGACTCCAACTGAACGCTGTCTCCACACTCTCGATGTTCGACACTGCCTAGCTTTCTACAGGTCTCGCACAGAATCCTTCAGGAATTCTAATAGGCTCTTCATTAAATACGCTGATCATGACAAGGGCTCTCCAGTCACATCTCAAAGACTGTCTAAATGGATTGTCCAGACCATAGTTCTGGCATACCAACTAGCAAAGATGGACTTACCTATGCTTCCAAGAGGCCATTCTACACGAGCAGTAGCGACTTCATCAGCTTTTGCGGCAGGTGTTCTGATCCAGGATATTTGCAGAGCCGCAGCCTGGGCTGCTCCATGTACTCTTGCCAAGCATTATCAGCGTGATGTACGTGCAAGACAGGATTGTTCCTTTGGAAGAGCAGTTCTCTCCGCCATTCTTCATTGACGACACCTCCCTCCTCCGAGTCTGGTAAGCTTGCTAAACACCCATATGTGTGATGCACAGAGGCCACGACGAAGAAAAGCAGGTTGCTTACCTGTAACTGATGTTCTTCAAGTGGCCATCTGTGCATTCACACAACCCACCCGCCGGCCCCGCATTTTGCTTTTTTGTTGGTTCTGCACTGATCTTACGGTACCGATGATGCTTATTGTAATACCGTCTTTAACTGCAAGGGGGTGAACGTCGCTCTTCAAGACTGAATAAAATGGCGGACGCTCTGCTCTATTTATAGTATGGGGGGGAGGGGAGCGGAGCCTTTTCCCACCAAAAACTGTTAGCTTTCTAACCTTCCAGCCTAGGCACTGCACAGGCTCAGCACCCATATGTGTGAATGCACAGATGGCCACTCGAAGAACATCAGTTACAGGTAAGCAACCTGCTTTTCTACCTGAGTGGTATGCAGCAACCTAGAGACAAAATAAGCCCACAAATGCAAGCGCAAAACTGACACAATGAACAAAAAGAAGAACTCTGCTGAATCCGTTCAGAGGCCGAACTAGCTCACCATCCCTTTCGCACAATGGCCAACCAGATACCTATGGACAGGCCTATGCCAGTGGCTTTAAGGACAATAGCCTTCTCCCAGACAGTCCCTACAAATGTTATTTGGAGGCTTCTAGCATGTTTCTAAATGCCTATTGTCTAGCCATAATGAAATGTTGTGAGCTTAGGTGGACCCCAGGGGATGGTGGAGGATAGGAGAGCATGGAGGAATGTTGTCCATGGGGTCGCAATGGGTCAGACACGACTTCGCAACTAGCATCGCATAGCATATAGCCATCACAACTAGCCGCCTTATATTCATTAGGTGGTATAAACCCTTGCCTGGTCAGAATCTAAATATCCATCAAGTTGGTGCCATATCACTGGTTTTCCTGGGGAGTTGTATTCCTGTATGTATAAGGCCTTGAGCACTGGTTATTGCTTCTGTTGGTGAGCTTCTGCTGTTGAAAACTGGCACGTGAATCTACCCTCAGTATCTACCCGTAAATTGGGCAGATGCTTGGAGGAATTAAACAAGGAGTTATTTTGCAGGTGCCTCTTTTGATCTTGTTGCAATATATCTGACTCATCCTTTAAGAGATAATATTTTATATATTGCTTTGTTTGGTCTTGAATGATCCAACCAATTTAATGAGTTAATACATGATGGGAAAGACCATCTCTGACTAATCATTCAGGTGGCAGAGTGGAATAATTTTCTAAAACATGTAACCAGGTGGCAAAACCTCCTAATTTACTAATTACCAAATACAATAATAATCATAATTAAAAGTCTAGAGCAAGATTAGGAATTTTTCCTCTTTTTAAAGGAGGAAAAAGTTCTGTGAATGTCTTGGAACATGGTGTGAATATTTCAAGAAGTTTCTCACAAAATAAAAGTCAACAATGACTACTACTCTAGACAGCTTCACATTGTAGCAAGGAAATCCTGTACACAATTAAATAAATTAGTGCAACACTGTCTCCACGTTTTTGGCATTTCTGGATCTACAAAATTGGGCATATGTTAACACAGAAGAATTTACATAAAGCAGAGCAATTGCTGGGTCAGTGATGGTTCATCTGCAGAAATGTGTTTGCATTGCTGAATCTGAATATGTTCCAATGCATTTTAAAGTCAAATGATGCAACCAGGAACAGACGGGCTATAAATTCACCTCCTTTTACAGTTCCATTTATGCAGGCTGATGACAAAACAAAAGCATGTAGCACTTAGGGAAAGATGGAGACTGGAATGAGATACAACTAAAATAATAGGAAACAATTACATGTCATAAATTGTATGAGCTAGAAAATGTAGTCTGTCAAAGAACTGGATGTTTAATTATTCTAATCAGTATAAATAGCAGCTAACTGAAAGTGAAGACCCTCTTTTTACCTAGAACTTTAGTTATGAGCAATAAAGTTGCTATCTAATAGGATACAATGAGAACAAGAAACTCCAAATAGAACGGCTTCCTTCCACTATTCTTTCTAGGTGCTACATTGGCAATATAAGCAAGTCCCAGTGTATTGCTCAGTGACTTACAATCAATAATTTCCATTTTGCTGCACTGGCACTAGGAGATGACACAGGGCTCAGCAGTAGATCACAGCCAATCATAACAGATGCAAAACACAGGCAATTCTAAGCCATCACAAAAATGAAGATGCTTTATGCCCCATCCTCTTGTTCCAGACTCATCTATGTCAGTGCTTGAAAAGCTGCACCAACCGATCAGAAGGAAATTGAGATTGTGTCTTGCAGTACAACAAGCTGGGCTTGCTCCTTTGCTTTGCTCAGGCTGGCACTCCAGTGCTGTTAGCCCAGTTTATCAATGGTAGTTTCTACCAGGGTAACGCTCTAATTGTACATGTGGGTGCACTGTCCTACTTGTTGACCTCTGCACTCCAGCAGTGTGGGGAGCTTTAGTCAGAATTCCACACCATTCAGCCCTGTCAAACAAGAATCAGTGTAGAAATTAGATCTATTTAACTACCTTTCCCCAGCTCTATACATGGGGAAAGTATCCTATTTCTTATGAAGTCACTTTCCACGGTTGTAATTAGGAGAATATAAAGCAGTGACCCCATTGTTCCTCATCTTGGGTGAAAATATGTAATTAATGGCTCCATTTTCTTTCAATTTCTGGAAGCAAAGAAGCTACGAAGATGTCTGTTCCCCCGTTTCCCAGCAGACAGGGCTGTCTGGCACACTAGCATCCATCTCTATTTTGAAACCAGTATCTTTGTTACTGCCTTTAGCGCTACAAATGGAAAGAAGCATAACTTCACAGACTGTAACAGAATATGAAGACTGGCAAGGGCTACTTATTTAATAACCACAATTATTTACTTCCTACTTTGTTTGCTACTAAGTCAATCTCAGGTAAGTGGAATTTACTGAAGCAGAATTTCTATCAGTAATTCAGTTGTCTTTCCTATCATTTTCTTGATGATTTCTTTTCTATCATTTTCCTTCACTTGAATTTATTACTGGTGCTTCACATCTCAACCAAGGTTCCAGGATTCATAATGCCATAAATCAAGTCCTAGAGATGATGCACTGCGGAGGGTGTTCTAGTTGCTTGTTTACATATGTTCGTCTTGAGCATAAAAAGGATAGACTCATCGTTCTTGATTTTAAAATGTATACAGTTCTTTGTAAGAAAAGTGTAGCTTAAAGAATGCTGCCAGCATTAGAAAGGGGCACTGCTCCAGTTCTTGACAGTCCAGCTTGATAGTATTCTCACAAAACGAATGTCTCTGTGCAACAGGTAATACAGCTGTAAGTCCCTCGGTTCCAGCTTTGGCACAGGGTTGTGTTCTGCTACCGTGTCACCTACACACAAAGAAAAAGATGAAAGTGAGCCCTGCGTGTATAAACAAAACTAGAAAGGCACTGAACTGGCAGTGGTTTTATGAGTTGCCGTGCCATCAGGGCCTCATACCGTAGCCTCTGCTTCTGTGTACCACGGATCCCATGCTCTGCTGGCAGAGGAGCAATGCAAGCAGTCTTTGCCTCCCCCCGCTCCTCCTTTCAGCTGATTTGCTACCATACGGACTTCTGAGGCATCGCTGGGGCAAGAGGCTTTTGAATCCCGCCCATTCTCGGTCCTTTCCCTCCCCACCTATTTCCCTCACTGGCACCCATATCCATATGCAGTTTCAGGGAAGCTACCCTGATACTTTCCACAATGGCTGCCTGGGTGGGAATAGCCCTCTTTGGATTGCGCACCTACGGCCCCCAGAGAGGAACTCTGCTATATGTGGCAAGGTGCTGCGGAGCCCTTTTCTTCAGCTTCGGCTGATTCACCAACTGCACCCTTACCTGGATGAGCAATGCCTAGTAATGGGGGCACACGCCCTGGTGACTTCCCGACTGGATTATTGTAATGCGCTCTAAGTGGGGCTGCCCTTGAAGAAGGTCTGGATACTTCAATTGGTTCAGAACAGAGCTGCCAGGAGGTTAACGGGAACTGGAAGGTATTCACATATAACGCCAGTCCTCTACCGGCTGCCAATTGCAGTCCAGGCCCAATTCAAGGTGCTGGTGATGACCTATAAAGCCCTAAATGGCTTGGGTCCAGGATATCTGAAGGAGCGCCTCCTTCCCAATACGTCCTCCTGCCCCTTGAGATCTGAGTTCCTTCTTCAGGAGCACTCCTTGGAAGAGATCAGGAGGTGGTTACCCAGACGAGGGCCTTCTGTGTGGTAGTGCCCCAATTATGGAATACGCTCCCCAGAGAGGTTCGCCTGGCACCAACACTTTTTTTCTTTTGGGTGCCAGGCAAAACCATTTTTATTTTCCAGTTATTTTAATGTTTAATTGGTTTGAATGTGGATTTTATATTATTGAATTACTGAATGCTGTGCCATTTTATTTGCCTTTTTATCTGTCGCTTGTTGTAAACTGTCCTGAAATGCCAGTGGATGGATGGTCTATAAAAGCTCCTGTGGTCCACAACACACTCTCCCTAAAAACAAGACTCTGAAAATATTTTAGGTTTGTTTTTTTTAATGTTTCATGCTGTTTTGGCAAACTCATTAGTTTTGTATTGTTGATTTTGTACTTTTATTTGAACTATTATTGCATTGCATTTTAAACTGTAAAATGCCTACAGCGATTTTTTTAATCAGCTGTTTGAGCCATTTAATGAGGAAATACTGGCAACAGAACATGTGGTGTTGCAGCACCTGCCCAAATGACCCCAGGCGTTGTCCAGCCTTTTCACTCTTAGACACCTCCTAAAAACCTATCTGTTGCCCAGGCTTTCCCTGAAGTGTGACTCAGCCAGCGTGATGTTTTTGGTCTTATCTTTTTTCTCTTTCCTGTCCTGTCCTGTCCTGTCCTGTCCTGTCCTGTCCTGTCCTGTCCTGTCCTGCCTGCCTGCCTGCCTGCCTGCCTTCCTTCGCATTGCATTTGCTACTATGATAATTTTGTTGGGGAGCTGTATTGTATTTATTATTTATTTAAGACTTTTCTATACCGTCCCATCACAGACGTCTCAGGACAGTCAACAACAAATTAATACAATAAAATAAAAATAAGAGTAACCGCTGCACAGCATCCAATGTTAGTATAAAACCACTAAATAAAACAGGTTAATTAAAATATTGGGAGAATAAAAAGGTTTTGACCTGACGCCGAAAGGAAAGAAGCGTTGGCACCAGGCGAACCTCTCTGGGGAGCATGTTCCACAATCAGGGTGTCACCGCAGAGAAGTATATAGATGTGTGATAATAAATAAATAAATCTTGCATGCTTTTGAAGGAACACAAGCACAGCAGCAGTAAATAGGATAGTCAGACATTACCTAGCATGTTGCTTTGCAATTAAATGCAAGCAGTTTACTAAGAGCTAAAGGACAAGTAGGAATCTTCAGAGCCATGGAGAAAAAAAAGCTAACAAAATGCAGGAAAGTTCGAGAGCTCCTGTGTTTGCTTCAGGTAGGGATACTGGTCTTTATAGTTTTCAGGTTTTATGTACATTTTTAAACAGCTCTGTTAATTAGCTGTGCTCCGTGAATGTAAACAGTAAAATGTGTTTCATTAATTTTTATTGGGAAAAATTATCACACCAAAAATGGTTTATTTCTGTGCCTATATTCATCTCATCCAAACAGTTACTGTGACTATTAACAACATGCAATAGGATAATAACACAAGAATTTTGCATTTCATCCTCCCCCATCCCCAGTCACCTAAGTAACTTTCCTGATCTTACACACAGCACAGAGAGAAGAGTTAAGCTGACTGCTTTTTTAAAAAGCTCAAATCCCTCTAACTGGCTATTTGAAGGCTAAGAGTCAATTTATTTTCTAATATTGCATGTTCTTCCTCATAGGATTCTTCTCTGAAGGAATCTGTCATCCTTTAATCTCTGCTGCATAGTTCTTCTGTATACTGCTTCCCCCTTTTCTTTATTTTACCCTGGTCAGAACTTATATTCCCTTGTTGGTCTGTCAACATTGAATAGGTTTGAATTTCCCTTTGATTTCTGTGATCTTCTCGAAAAGGTCTCTTCCCCCACCCCTACTCTTTTCCTCTTTTTCATTTTTAATCCTGTGTTTTAAAAATTGCAATAGTAGATTCATTTGTTTCCCTCTTGGATGCACACCTTAACATGGTAGGAAGGTTTGAGAGCACTGAAGAAGCCGAAAACAATGCCAAGAGGAGGCCAGACTCCTTTCCTAGTCCAGTCTCCTGGCAGGGTCACCCAAGGTGGACCAGTCAAACCTAAGACACCAGACTGAGGTGTAGCCACCCTCTTAAGAAGTCACAGTCCCATCAGCAGAAGAGAATGGATTTATCTAATCATGATGGGCTGGGGAATCTCCGAAAGAACAGCTACTGGGCAGCAGTGGGAGCTGAAGGTCATGCTGGTGGGGTATATTTCACATAAAATGGCACTGACACTTGAGCTAACTCTGGCTAGTGCTGCGCAGAAGGAAGCAACGGTAAAACACTTCTGAAAATTTCTCACCTTGTAAACTCTATCATGGAACAATCCAAAATGAAACAAATGATTCTACTACTACAGAAATCTTTTTCATGCACAGAAGAAAAAGGAAAAGAAAAAAATGTTTTATTCAGTGCAGAGTCACTTTGTTTGGACTGACAATAGCCACAACCTTTCATGAATCTAGAGGTATTCCCAAGGTGAGTGATGACGATGAGAATAAAAACTATCCTACTGCTTCACGATGATTCGGGGAATTATATTTTAACTTGTGGAAGCACCTGATGAAATGGCTGCACTTTGGGGAATCTGGCAATCAAAAACTGACATCCCCAACTTACTCTGAAACTTCCTTGCCTCCCCACCCCCATGCACAAAAGCTGGAGCCCCAAGCTAAACTCACAGAGACGTGCCAAGTACATCGATTCACAGTCTAAGAGGTGGCTTATGTGCTTTCTTTGGATACGCCCAAGCCCTGCTTGTCTCTCCCTCTGAAAAGTATACTCACAGAAAAACAAGAAAGTGGAAAAGGCCCATCACAGCCATCTTATCAAATTAAAGATACTTGCAGCACCTTCGGGTGCAATGCTAACCCATTAAGATCAAAGTGAGCTTTGCCCTGACTTCAGTGGGATGCGGATTGCACTCTTGGGCATCTCCTCTTCGAAGAGGGGAGTTAATGGCTTGTTACTTTAACGAAGCAAAGCCAGTTTAGAGCACTCTTGGGTGCTAATTCAGCACAGTAGTTAATCTCAAACCAAAGGCAGAAGTGAGTATTGAAAAATCATGCCCACACTTGAGAGGGAAAGCGAGTCGCTGCTCATTTCTATTTTAGTCGCCCTGATTCTCCTGCTTCTGCGCAAACTTGCTCTCCCCAAGGAGACAGCGCTCACTCTGCTCCTTCCTCATTCCTTTCTCCATGCCCAACTCCGCCATGGGCTGCCCCTTATGGTCAGCAAAGAGCTGCAAGTCGGGGGGACTCTTCCTTGCATTTGGCTCCTTCAGGGCAGGCCTTTAAGAGGGCTTCACTGTTGCTATTCCTTAACACGTTCACACGGTTCAAAGCAGCTGCACACCTGCTTTATGCAGCCATGTGCACACAGATATGCTCCACTTTCGCCCTCCTGCGTGTGCTGCTCTTGACACAGAAAATCAGCTCATGAACATCTTGAATAAATAAAGCAGCAAACTAATCCGAAGCCAACATGGGTATTTCCAATTCCAGTTCCTCCTCCACCACCACAGCAGTTTATCTCTTGTGAATTCTCTGCCCTCATGGGCATGCAGGGTCATGGGGGAGGGCAAGGAAGGGGACTAGCAGGTCTGGAGCGGCAGCAGCATTCCCTACCGCCTGAGAGCAGCAAACCAGTTACAAAGCCAAGTGGCTCAGAGGGAGTGGGCTGGAGGGGGGCAAATTAGAGCGGAACGGCTGCAACATGTCCCTGCCCTGCTCCACCTGCGGCCCAGAGAGCGAGGCCTTGCAGGTGTCGTGCGGATGGTGCTCCTTCCCAATGAAAGCAATGAACCCCTTTGTCGCTTCTAGAGTCTTTATTCTACACAGAGTTAACAATTACAACTCCTATAGATGATGACGATGACGATGACGAAGTTGTCCTCTCTTTCTGAATGAGATGAGTTCACAGGATACTTTTAACTTGCCTGGGCCGTCCCTCGCCGGGTGGCTCTGGCAAACCTCTCTCCCTCCGTTGTTCCAACTCTCTTGTCTCCAAGAGCCCCAGTCCGCGCATGCTCCTGCAAGAGCGCGCATCTGCCAACTCCCCTCAGTCAAGGCTAACTCCTGTGTTCTCAAGACCATTATCAGCAGGCGTCTCAACCGCTCCCTCAGCAACCTCTCGATTGGCCTCCGGCTGCTGTACGCTTTCGGTTTCTCCCTGAATCCTACCCTTCTCTGTGCCCTCTTCCCTCTGAAGAGCATCACGGGTGGGGGGAGTTTGAACCACTGGCACCAAACATACATCTCCCTGCAACGAAGTCTGGTTCCCACGGGAAGCCTCCCTCTCCCTATGTGCACCAAAGACTTCACGACAGCAGGACGGACAGGACAGCCAGGATGATGGCCATCGCTGACCTCACCAGCTACCCACAGTTGGCAATGGTAGATCTTGCGATGGACAGAAATTTGTTGGGGTTAACGGGGCTGAGGGGGAATGTCTCCTGATCCCCAACAGGCACCCACATGGGCAGGCTTTGTGCTTTCCCCATTGCAAAATTAGCCCAGGGAAGTCGATGTGACTGCTCAGAATGGTATGATTCAAGCTGCAACCGTGTGCGCTGTAATAGGCATTGGGCTGCGTCGATTTGAGAGAAGGAGAAGGAAGGGGCGGCCTGCTCCCTCGCACGAGGTTATTGTGCCATCTGAGCCCAGGCATCTCTTTATCAGTTGTTTGTGGTTATCAGCCATAGCCTGTTCAGGCAGCTGGGTTCAGGCAGCACCATAACCCACATCTGAACAACAGTCCATGGCTTAATGACAGCCCATGCTCAGCCTGTGAGTGCATGATCTCAAACTAGCCATTGGGTACTTTGGCCACAGTGGCCCTTTAGGGACTTGGAAGGGAGTCTGACAGATCACCTCCTTTTAAACTAGTGATGCCAAGAATTGAACACGGGACCTTCTGTGTGGGCAGCATGCAGTTTATCTTTAAGAGAAGGTCACTCCCAATTTCGCAAGGACTTGGTTCCTAGTAGAGACATGAGGAAATGGTGACCTCCAGATGACGTTGGACTGCTTTCTTCATTCACTCACCAGTGGCTATGCTTGCCTGAGCTGATGAGAGATTCGCTTCACAACATCTGGAGGCCATATGCTTCCCTCTCCTTCCCTGCTAGGTATGTTTAAGGTTGCCACATTCAGATCTCCTCCTCCTCCTACTACTATTCTATATTGTCCAATAACTGAAGTCTCTGGTCAGTTTACAACAGCTTATGAAATGCAACAAAAAACAAATATGAAACACCATTTCTATTTATTCAAATGTTCGCTGTGTCCAATGTCTTGCTGGCTTTTTAAAGCTGCTTGACCAGCAGAGCTGGGGCAATTGGATGAGAAGGCAAATCTAGCCAACCTTTGTGTGAAGCCCAGTCCCCGCAAAAGAGTGAGCAATGCAGTAAGGCAACTCTTCTGAGCAAGGTTCTCCGTAAGGGCTGCCCAGGCAGCGGTTGCGGCTCTTGTGAGCAGAGATTGCCTCGTTTATTTGCAAGGAGCAGATCAGCCCACAGAAATGCACATACTCCTTCTAAATCTGACGGAATGGGGGAATATGAGCACATGAGAACTCCCTGCACAGGGTGGGACACCAAATCAGAGCCACCTACCCTAGTACATGCCTATACAAAGCAGTGTCCTCTTCTGTGGTCTGATAAAGGCCAGAAACCATTTTACAAGAAACAATCCTCACTGTATAACTCCAAAGAAAGAACTAAGAATCAGTCAAAGAATGCAGGATTTTGTTTCTGTTCCACAAGTTATGTTAGTAAATGGGTGCTATTAAAAAAATAAAAAGCAACGCCTCCCAGAGATCCAATCATAGCTCTCTCATTATTTTGTCTAGTGTAGACTCGAATTAATTTACCCCATCATTGGCTAACCTGACAACAAAGATGGGCAGCTCGCATGAACTCACCTTGGTAGTTTTGACTTTGTTTCCACTGCTGCACGACCAACCTGAATAATCTGGCAGTACTTTACATTCTTCTCCTTCCAGACAAGGGTTCATATGACACCACCACTTCTGGACAACAATAGCAGCTGGAAGACAAAGGCAACATGGCTTTTCAAAGAGGAAACTGGTGCAAGTTTCAAATTATCAAATGACTCAGAGGCAAGTGAAGTCTTCCCATCCTGGTATCTTCCAGATATGTTGCCTTACTGCACTCACCAGCAAGACCATTAGCCACGTGATGCCATCATCACAAACACACGGCACCCTCAAAAGTAGCTAATGTTGCTCTTGTGCATCTTTCCAGTTGAGAATGAAACAGTGGGACCACTTTTCCTTCCTGCTTACGCTGTTCCATGCACCTCTCACACATTCTTTGCATCTGAAGCCCCGTGCCACTGCCACAAGCCAACCCAGCATCGTCATCTTCTGGACGCGACCAGCATGCAGCCATTCAGATTTGTCTGGTCTGCTAAGGACATTGCTAAGGGCAAGTAAATCCCTCAAACTACTTTCACTACGGGCCAGGCTAAACATCTTCCTGGCAGATGGTGTGCCGGGAAGTCAGCACGCAGGAATGGGGAGATGTATCCCTCCCCTCCTAATCACCACTGGAACCAGAAATAACACCCCTCCTGCGTGGCCAGGATGCTTGGGAAACAGCCCCCATTGGTGCCAATGGAGAAAAATTTTCTAAAACTCCTAGCTGTACCAGAAGGCAAGGCTATTTTGGCTGCAGTCTTGCTGTGGATGAAACAGACCAGCTTCTCCTCCATGTGCACCTTTGATCAGGAAAAGAAAAACTTGACAATAGTTCGATAGCTAAGATGGGATGCGTTTGGTGACAGCACTAGGGATAGACCATGAGGCACTTTCTGGACCCTGCTGACCAGGGGGACCAAAAATTTACAGCATTGTTATTCCAGGCATGCCTCCCATTTTCATTCCCCAGAGGTCTGCTGAAAATAAAGCCAATGGGCACCAGTGGAACTTTACACTGTTGCTCGCTCAGACTTTATTTAAAGTTTTATTTCATCTCTAAAAGCATTAAATTATCATTTAGAGCCTTCTAGACCACCACTATTACCACCACCAGATCTCACCAATGCTTATTAAGAGTTGGGGGGGGGGAAGCAAGAATAAGCAAGAATAAAAGCACCAGGGAGGAAGGGAATGAATGGGCTTCCCGTCCGTCCATCTGTCCATCCGTCCATCCTTCCGTCTTCCCTCCCTCCCTCCCTTCCACACTTTTCACACAGGTTCTCAGGCATTCAGGCACTTCACTATCTAACCTCTATAAATTTTGCAAGACAGTGGGGAAGGGGCCCAATTCATTCCCATTCTACACCTTCTCAGCATGCAAGGGGTAAGAGAAAACAGCAGGCATGGCAGTAAGAGCAGGTGAAAGGAGGGAGGGTAAGCAGAGAAAGCAGTAGGGGACATCTTTGCCCAGAGTCCCTCCGATCTGGTCTGGCAGTACTACTAGATATTGTCCCTGCTTCATGAACCCCACACAAAGCCCTTCCGTTCCTCTGCCTTAGAAATCCTGCCCCTTGAGATCTGAGGCAGAGGTCCTGCTCTGGGGGCCCTCCTTGAAGGAGATTAGGAGGGTGACGAACCAGGGCAAGGTCTCCTTTGCAGTGGCAGAGAACCGTGGAGCCTGCTCCCCAGATCATCTGCTCCCCGGACTATGGAAACTGCTCCCCAGAGAGGTTCACCTGGCGCCGACTTTATACTCTTTTCAGCATCAGGCAAAACCCTTTTTATTTTCCCATTATTTAAATGTTTAATTGTTCTTAACTGGGGTTTTAGTATTTAATTGTCAGATGCCATGCTGCTTGTTTTATTCTACTCATTTTTTATAAGTCATCCCAAGACTCTAGTAGTGGACAGGTCAGAAAAGCTTTCAATAATAAATAAGCAAGTGAATGAATAATGTTCAGGATCACCAAGATGCTCCAAACACCATCTCATTCCCAGTGCCCGTTTACTGTTTAATTTGCATAATGAGAAAACTATACAAGTCAACTGAAGAGGAGATATGCACAAATCTCTCCCAGTTTGTCCAAATTTCTTCCATACGCTGAAGTGGTGCTGACACAGTCAACCCTGAACTTTGTGCAAATTAGGAGATTTGCCAGTTCATGGGTATTTCCATGGGACATCTGGTTATGCTGGAGCTTCAGGTGGGAGATACCAACATCTTTTGTGAACAAAATTGACATGCTCATGCATCCCTCCCTCTTGTGCTGAAGGAAGAGGGAATGAATCTGCTCCAGCATGGGTCCTCAAACTACAGCCCATGGGCCGGATCCGGCCCACCATGCCCATTTATCCGGCCCGCCTCAGAGGTTTTGGACTCCCTGCGCCCGCCGCCGCCACCCACCTCGCCACACAAGATGGTTTTGGACTTGCTGGGAGATCTCCAAGCAAGCCGCCGCCGCGCATGCCCGCCGCCGCCACGAGCGCACCTGCCACCACCTCACCAGCCCGTGCCCCCGGGCACCCCCGCCTCACTGGCCCACTCCCATCTCCGCCGCCTTTCAACTGGCCTCCGGTTGAGAAAGTCTGAGGACCCCTGTGCTACAGTGTGCTGTGCCCTGATTTTTATCTAGACAGCTGTGTTTGGCTATCCAGATGAAGCGCCACGGAGGATGAGCGAAGGAGGCTGCAACACCAGCAGAATCTGGGGCAGGGCAGGGGCATGGCCCTCGGTGTCCCTGCTCTGAGACCACAGCGTCCTGTGAGCTGGGACTCCAATTAATCTGATTGGCCCCACCAAAAACATCAGGAGGCCACTGAGATGCCTTCTTATAACTCTGTTTAAGCAAAGCAAGGTGTTTGTGCATTGATGCTGCAATCCTGAACAGTATTGAGGTGCTTAACTGTGTTTAATGTGCATTTAGGCAGAAATATGTCTCCTTGTGTTCAATGGCAGCCTAAATTCCTTTGGCTTCAATAAGCTTTAAGCAGCTTCTGTATGAGATTGCAAGCAAGGCAGTTGCCTGTAATCAGTTATCTCTTTCACTTCTTCATTACTATTTTTCATACTGTATTTTTTCCTTGGGGGAAAATCTATAAAGTGTATTTATTTATACAACCCTTATTTAATTTGATTCAGTGGATGCAATTCATCAATTCCTAAAAAATTACGAGAGAAGATATTGGTTCACAATCTAAACTGAATTAGAAGTTGAAATATGGAAACAAATGTTAATTTTGTTGTCTAACATTCTTGTACTATGAACACATTATTTGAAGCTTCACTGCTGATTACAATTCTTTGCTCTACAGCAGTATACAAAATCACAGTTCTTACATGTAAAGGACAAACCAGTAAGTCATTAATTTACAGAAATTTTTTTTTCTCTTTGTCCCAAACCCTAAATTAGGTTAACTAACAGCAGGATGACAATGGTAAATTTGGTAGCTTGGATGTTGATTCAATTATTTCATTTCCGTTATGCATTTTCTATGTAGGTAACAGCTAGAGATATCTTTGGGTAAAAGTCTATCATTACTGCAGGTAATTTCATTACCAGAGGTTTCATTTAATAAAATATGCAAATACTAAAGGAGGTTTTTTTTTTAAAAGCCTATCCTAGAGTTTTCAATAAATACTTATTCTGGTTTGACTAGTTCATGACTAACTAGTTTGATTTTAAAAGAGTGTGTGTGTTCATGATACTTATATTGTGATCATTTCCCTCAAAACTGCTTATTAATTCAATTGTAGTTAACCATAAGTCTTGTAAAATACCAGTAAAAAGGTTAAACATGGGATAGGATGTGAGAAAGTCATTATGGGAATCCTCTATGGGCTTGTCCTCCTTTTTTTCCTTTCCCATCAAAAGGGCCTAGGATGCCTCTGCTATAGCTAACTGCACTGAGAGAGTAGAAAGGCCATGCTTTGACCCACAATCCTTTGCAAAGAATTTTCGGAGGCATATTCTGGTCAGTCCAAATCTAGCCTAAGATCTTTTTGCTGTCAGCAGAAAAGGACAAGTTGGTGTACACACCCCTTCCTGCCTCACACACAGTCTCTGCGCACATTCCATGCATAGAATCTGACTGGATGCGCAGCTGAATTGCATTCAACAACCTATGTAGGAACGTAAGCAAAGCCGTGCTGGATCAGCCCAAAGGTCCATCCAGTCCAGCACTCCGTACACAGGGTGGCAAACCAGCTGCCCGCAGGATCCCTCAAGCAGGATGAGTGCAAGAGCCCCGCCTGCCCAGCTCCTCAGCAACTGGTGTGTGCAGGCAGGCCGCCTCTGCTGAAGGAGGGAGCACAGAGCCAGCAAGGCTAGTAGCCACTGAGGGCCACCGATTCAACAGCAACGATGGGACATCCTCCACTGCACCTGCGGGCAGCAGGTTAGATTAGAGGATGCAGAAGGAGAGCCAGTGTGGTGTAGTGGTTAAGAGCATGGGACTTTGACTCAGACGACCTGGGTTCGAGTCCCCGCTCGGCCATGGAGCCAACTGGGTGACTTTGGGCCAGTCACAGGCTCTCAGCCCAACCTACCTCACAGGGTTGTTGTTGTGGGGATAAGATGGAGGAGGAGTTGTAAGCTGCCTTGAGTCCTTTGTAGGAAAAAGGCAGGATATAGATTGAAAAATAAAATAAAATAAATAAATTTAAAGGACTCGTGGGAAATGGTGGGAGGCTGCTGCCACCTGGCACCTGCAGCTTGAGGTAACCATTCTACTCTACCTAATAAGAGGCTGTCAGTTTGGCTGGGTAGCTGGCCAAAACAGAACGAATACAAGGAACTTAGGGGGTGCACATTTTCCCCCACTCTGTTATTTAAGCCCTGATAAAAAGCTGAAGTGGTAGATGGGTATGAGACAAGGAAAGAGCCTGTCAGGCCATTAACTGGTAGACCAACAAGGTTGTAGTTTTACAACTCTAAAAGCAAGGGAGAAGATGCTCTTGCCAACCAGACAAGCCTCCCAAAGGGTGTTATGTGGTACTTAGAAAAACAAGCAAAGAAATGGACCAGGTTCAGCAAAGCCCTAACATTAATTCTAGGTCCTGATTTAAACAGCCCTCAGTAAATAGATCATCTCCAATTCATGCATGAGG